AAGCCAGCCCAGGCAAATAGTTCAAGAGACCCTATTTTGACAAAACCTATCACAAAAACTGGCTGGTGGAGTGGCTCAAGGTGTAGGCCCTGAGTTCAAATACCAGTACTCCTAAAAGCAAAAAATGCTCACTCAAGCGGTACAGCAACTGCCTAGCAAGCAAGAGGCCCTGTGTTCAAATCCTAGTGCCAAGAAAAAAAGAATAATTCGGTTTTCTCTTAGGTAGGACTCATGACAATTTGTGAGATGCCAAGAACAAGTACTGAATTAGACAGGGAGCTCCTTAAGAAAATTAATTGAAGGGGTTTTTTTAAACATATATGACCTAACTTTTTGCTGTTGCTTTTTAATAAAAAAAAAAAAAAAAGCCAATTCCTTACTGTAGTAGTTCTCAAAATGTGACTAGCAACATAGTGTCGCTTGCTAGAAACGCAGATTCTCAAAACCTGGGGATGAGGCCCAGCAGTCTGTGATCTGATAACCCCTCAGGTGACTCTGAATGTGTGTTCAAGTTTGAAAACCACTGTCATAAGTAAGGTAACACTTGAACCTTCCACATCACGGGGAAACCTCACCGTTCCCAGTCCAAGACTGTGGACGTGAGAAGTAAATGCCACGTTAGAACAACACTGACAAAAACCCCTTCCCGTCCCCTTGCAGCCATAGTTCACTGAACAAAGAATCTTCCTGGTTCTTCTTTTTGATTTCTGATGCTCTGGAACACTTCGCTGTGTTCTGAGCAGCTGTGTCCACCTCTGAGGGGCACTGAGGCTGCGGAGGGGCTACTCCTTCAGCCCCACATCCATGGCTATATTCTGGTGGAGATGAAGGCCAGTGAATGGCCCAGCAGGTCATAATGGCCCTGTAATGGGCCTTGGTGGCTAGGGTCAGGATTTGAGAACTCCCCAAAGGAGGAGCAAAATCCTAAAATACAGACTTCCCTCTGTCCAACCTCACTTCCACCTGTTGGCCAGGCTTTCTATTTTCATGCAGAAACAGAAGCAGTCAGAGAAGTTTCTACCACTGCCATTCCTACGACTCCATCCTGTATCTGCAGTTGTCCACACTGCCTTCCCTCCTGTTCCTACAGAAGGGTCCCTGGTCCAGCCCAATGCCAGCGACTCTATCGCTATCCTTGTCCGATGCCTGCTCACCTTCGCGTGGGTGATTCACATCAGCATAAAAGCATGCTCTATTTCCTCCTTTCTTGATAAAAGCGGCCTCGCAGCCTAATCCAGGTCCTTCTTTCTACTCCCTTCCACAACCGAGTTCCTTCAAAGCTGTCCACAGCACTGTCTCCAGTCCTCCCGCTGGTCGGTTCCTCTCTCCCTGCTCCACAAGGCCTCAAGCTACCACTTCACCAAGACTGTTTACCAAGGTTCCTTACAGTCTCCATGTAACTGGACCCAGTGGCCAGAGCTCAGTCCTGCTCCTACTCAATTGGCAGCCTCCTTTAACTCCTTGACCCTCTCTCATGAGACTTCTGTTTTGTTGCTTCCAGAACCACATGCCACCCTCAGGGATTCAAAGATGAATAGATAATGCTCACCCCTCATTCTGGTAGAAGACTTGGGGAGTGACCATGGGCTTCTGGACTTTCAGATTCTCCCTCAAGTCTACTTGCCACAGTGCGTTCCCAACTTTTCCATGCCACGGCACATATAGAAAATTTGCCCAGCATTCTGGGATAACAAGGTAAGACCGCTCCCCACAGAAAGGACCACCCCCCCCAACTGGAGGACTGAGAGACCACACACACAAGGCAATTCCCACCTTTTTCCTGACCTACAAGAACAACACAGTCATTTTATGACCTCAAGATAGACCTGTCAGTCACACAATTTTATTCCTAGATCCTCTAGAACTGGAAGAGATGAACTACTCCAGTTCAAACACTAGTTGCCTGCTCCAAAGCATCCAGCACGGCAGTGAACAGTGTGTTTTTAACAGTATGGCACGTTAAGTCCGGCTCCAGAGAAGTCATCACTACATCTCATGTGCCTTTGGATAGCATTTCTACTCTACCAATCTAAAGAAATCAGACATATCTCCCCTTAAAATAGTGAAGTCAGGCAAGACCAGAAGGTCCCTTGCTCACACATTCCTTCATGGGAAGTTCTTCCTGCTACCTGACCTGTTGTTACCACATGTGTTTTAAGCACACTCGCTCTCTGTTGTGGAAAAGGACAGGGAAGAGCAACTCATCAGTTCGCTCCATGACAACAACACAAGCTGCTTGTGTCAACAGATTTCATCTTTAACACCCTTGAACATTTCCTCTGTGATCGCTATAGAGACAATAGAACACAGTAAGGACAGGCTCAGACAAAAGGGATTTCAGAAGAGCAAGGTCTGCGATCACTTCATGCAGCACCTCAGACACCAAGGCCACTGGGCAAGGAAGGAGACTCATTTGGTGCCAGCATTACCCTTTAGGTTTCATGTTGTTTTGCTTCACTGGTAATTTATTGACAACAGAGAACAAAGACAGACCGCCAAGGTTGGGATCACGGAGGCTTCTGTTGCCTGGGACCTTCTGCTCTGTGGTGGAAAGCGACCCCGGATGGTCCTGCTGACCACTGCTCTCCACTAAGGCTGATGCCCTAGAAGTAAATGTGCTGGCCACAGGGTGGGGGTGGGGATCATTTTAATGTTAAGTAAGAGTAAAGAGCACAGAACAACTCCCATGCCAGACACCACTCACACTGCATTTGCCTCCACAACTCCTTCCCTCCCCAAAACAAGAGTTAGTCCTCCATAAACACAATCTTTATTCAATAATAACTTGTTCTAGTAATTCAAGAAATGTAGGCCTGGAGTGGTGGTACACACCTGAAATCCCAGATATTTGAGAGGCATAGGTAAGAGGACTAAGGGCAGAGGCTAGATAGGGCAAAAGCATATGACCCTACCAAGTGCAAGGCCCTGAGTTCAAACCCCAGTACTGTCCCACAGAGAGAGAGAGAGAGAGAGAGAGAGAGAGAGAGAGAGAGAAGAAAGAAACGTACTGTGGAAAACCATCCTGCTTGAAACAGTTTTATACGCAGCTCTGATCCAAAGTAATCAGTCCTTCAGACTTGGAACCTACCTCACATCCCAAACACATTTGGGTGCGGAAAGTCCTGTGTACTCCCAGAAGCCTAGGAATCAGGAAGTCATTCTAAAAAAAAAAAAGAAAGAAGGAAGGAAGGAAGGAAAAGGGGAAGGGAAGGGAGCTAAGCTTGGAATGTTTTATTAATTTCAAACAGGGGAACATTTTTTAAAACTCAAATGACTTTGGAAGGTAGAGATGATCCAAATGTTAGTGAGCATTTCAAGTGGAAGATTCCAGCGGAACGGCCTCTTTGTAGGTTATGGCTCCCCTTTCCTTGGAGGTTAAGAAATTGGCCTTGCAACTTAAAATTAGGTCCATGCTGCAGCAGCAGGAAGAGCTCGGGAGCCTTTCAGCTCTTCCCTTTAAGCCTGAGCCCTTCTCTCCCACCCTCACCCTCCACTCACTTCTTGCCTGGCTAATGCCCATACACTCTTCATGTCTCAGTTTAGGTTCTCAGTCTCTTCCTCAGGCATTTCCCTCACCTCCACTCAGCTGGACCAGACGACCTTCACACGGCCCCATGTGCCCTGCACCTCTGCTGTGTATTACCTGCTATGTCCCCACTGGGGTGTTGAGGGCAGAGACTACATCTTGTCCCACCGTATCCCCAGGATCAGAATATGCCACATAATAGACACCAAAGAGATATTTATTGGGGGAAGGAAGAAAGGGAAGGAGAGAAGGAAGGGAGGGAGGGAAGGAGGACATGGTGGCTCATGCTAACCCCCGCTTGTGGGGCAGACATTGGGAGTATCATGGTTCAAGGCCAGCTGCTGGGGCAAAAAGTTAGAGACCCTCCCTCAAGAACTAAGCAGGCCTACAGTGGATCACATCTGTAATCCCAGCTAGACAGGAGGCATAGCTTAGGAGGATCACGGTCTGAGGCTGGCCCTGGGCAAAAACTCAAAACCCTACCTGAAAAATAACTAAAAGCAAAAAAAAAGGGGGGGGGCTGGGGGTGTGGCTCCAGTGGTATAGCATCTGCCTAGTACCACTCCCTCCAAAAAAGTGGTATCTGTTAAATATCACCAAATATCTCTAAAAAGAAAGAAATGAAGTTGCAGTAGTGACCTCTGGAAAAGGCCGATGGGAGCTCAGAGGCGCTCAGAGGCCAGGTTGGGAGCGAGACTGACCTTATACCTCTCACCCTTTGTATCCATCTGAATCTTTATTGTATACAAAGACCTTTGAGTCACAAAAGGAACTTTTTCCTTTAGCTTTACAAGTTCAAATTTGTCAACATGGGATTGACTAAATATAGTACACTCACTAAGAACAATAATGCAGTTGCCAGGTACCAGTGGCTCTCATCTTTAACCCTAGCTACTTGGGAGGCTGAGATCAGGAGGATTGCTGTTTGAGGCCAGCCCAAGCAAATAGTTCACAAGACCCCTATCTCCAAATTAACCAGACCAAAATGGACTGCAGGTGTGGCTCAAGCAGTAAAGCACTGCTTTGCAAGTTTGATGCCCTGAATTCAAATCCCAGTCCTACCAAAAAAAGAAATTATGCCAGGTGCTGGTGTTTAGAAGTAGGGTTTCTGCTCTCAAGGTCACTGAAAACTGAAGGTCATTTGGCGTACCTGCTTTCCCCTCTGCAGAAATCAAATTCTTTTTCCTTTAAGTTCTCCATCCTCTTCTCAGCCCTATTTTTAAAATTGTCACAAGAGGGCAGCAGTTTCATACACAAGACAGCATTGGTAATTAGAAAAGGCAAAAAGGATATGCCACTATAAAATATTACAGAGTTTAGAGATCTTAGCACCTTGCTCTGAATATGTGTGTGACCACATTTGACACTGCTAAAAGTGATAAGTAGCAGGTGGGAAAGAAAGTCATGCTGGTGAGTGCAGCTAATATGTTCCTTCTCTTCCAGGTACGGGGTAAGACGGAACAAGGAGCACTCTAGAACCCAAGAATTATCCTAATGTAAATTTTTGCAGCAGGATGGAAGGGGAATCTTATCACAATGCAACCACTGTCAACGGCACCCCAGTAAATCACCAGCCTTTGGAGCCCCATGGGTTGTGGGAAGTCATCACCATTGCAGCTGTGAGTTCTGTGGTCAGCCTGATCACTGTTGTGGGTAATGTCCTGGTCATGATCTCCTTCAAAGTCAACAGTCAGCTCAAGACGGTCAACAACTACTACCTGCTCAGCTTAGCCTGTGCGGACCTCATCATCGGAACCTTCTCCATGAACCTCTACACCACCTACATCCTCATGGGACACTGGGTGCTTGGGAGTCTAGCATGTGACCTTTGGCTGGCACTGGACTATGTGGCCAGCAACGCCTCTGTCATGAACCTGCTGGTGATTAGTTTTGACCGATACTTTTCCATCACAAGACCCCTGACCTACCGGGCCAAGCGTACCCCAAAGAGGGCTGGCATCATGATTGGCTTGGCCTGGCTGATCTCCTTCATCCTCTGGGCCCCAGCGATCCTCTGCTGGCAGTACTTGGTCGGGAAGCGGACGGTACCAGCAGATGAGTGCCAGATCCAGTTCCTCTCTGAGCCCACCATCACCTTTGGCACTGCCATAGCTGCCTTCTATGTCCCTGTTTCTGTCATGACCATCCTCTACTGCCGGATCTACCGGGAAACAGAGAAGAGAGCCAAGGACTTGGCTGACCTCCAGGGCTCTAACTCTGTGGCTGAAGCAGAGAAGAGAAAGCCGGCTCCCAGGCCTCTGCTCAGTTCCTGTTTTAGCCGCCCTCGGCCCACCCTGGCTCAGAGGGAGAGGAACCAGGCCTCCTGGTCATCTTCCCGCAGAAGCTCCTCCACCACAGGGAAGCCACCCCAAGCCACTGGCCCAGGCACCGACTGGGCCAAAGCTGAGCAGCTCACTACCTGCAGCAGCTATGCCTCCTCGGAGGACGAGGACAAGCCCACCCCTGACCCAGTTGTCCCCGGGGTCTGTAAGAGTCAGGCCAAGGACAGCCCACAGGAGGATTTCAGTGCAGAAGAGACCAAAGAAACGTTTGTGAACGCTCAAGCTGAAAACAATGATTTTAACACCCCAAAATACTTCCTATCTCCAGCTGCTGCTCACAGACTCAAGAGTCAGAAAAGCATTGACTGCAAGTTCCGATTGGTGGTAAAAGCTGACGGGACCCAGGAGACCAACAATGGCTGCCGTAAGGTGAAAATCATACCCTGCTCCTTCCCGATGTCCAAGGACCCTTCAACAAAAGGCCTGAATCCCAGCCTCAGCCATCAAATGACCAAACGGAAGAGAATGGTCCTAGTGAAAGAGAGGAAAGCCGCCCGGACCTTGAGTGCCATTCTGCTGGCTTTCATCATCACGTGGACTCCTTACAACATCATGGTCCTGGTGTCCACCTTCTGTGACAAGTGCGTCCCCGTCCCACTATGGCACTTGGGCTATTGGTTATGCTATGTCAACAGCACCGTCAACCCCATCTGCTATGCACTCTGCAACAGAACCTTTAGGAAGACATTCAAGATGCTTCTGCTCTGCCAGTGGAAAAAGAAAAAAGGAGAAGAGAAGTTGTACTGGCAGGGGAACAGCAGGCTGCCCTGAAGAGTCAACGGAAGAGTAACGGTCACAGACTGGTCTGCTTAGTTTTAAGAATGTCTTGCATCATTTCGAATATTTGAAGACTTGTAAAGGTTCAAGGTCTGTTGCCAAAAAAAGGAGTCATAGCTAGCAACTGCTGCCATATTCGGTGATTCCTGACCAAGGCTGCCTGCTGCCCCCAACATCTGCCAATGAAATAGAGAGAGAGATCTGCTGGAAGCCTGCCACAGACTTTTGTGCAAGATGTATGTCTGTCTGTCTCTGCAGCTGTCTGTCTATCTATGTGGCTGTCTATGGAGCTTTCTTGTACCAGTGAGAAGCAGGAGAATGTAAGATAGTGCCTCCTATTAACAAGAGTGATATTCAACTGGCTTTTAGAATATCTTTCTTCCTAACTGATCAGTACTTGTCATGCTGCTATTATGTGGTCTTATTGTGCTATGTTTTCCTGCCCTACAATGAGTGAAGGCCTTGCTCTCCCCTCTAACAACATGTCAGTTCCTGTACCCACTGAAACCATGCTTGTCTCCCCAGAACCATCCTTCCTCTCAGAACCCTGGGTCCTGGACACCCAGACCTGGTCAGACCCAGTCAACCCAATCCTCCCAAGGGCCTCTATTCTGCTAATAAAGATATCAAACTCCAAGCTCAGTGACGAAAGCTTCTGCCAGCGGGAAGTCTTTCATTTCATCTAGCTTCCTACTGGTGCCTGCGTGAAGGCATTCCCTAGGCTCTGTTCTTGGGAGGACCAGCTACATCGGTCCTGCACCAGCAGAGCTCTTCTCCAAGGTTCTAACCATGCTTCTCTGGCATGGTTTTCATAGGCCTTGCTTTCTAGTCTCTTCACAGCACACTAGAGGCAGAGTGTGGCAAACAATTCTAGCTCCATTCCAGCTTTTGAATTTCTTCAAGAGACCTTTTGGAAGCCCCCAACATCCCTCACCCAGACCCCCAATTTACACCTGGGCGCAAGCAGCTCACTGTGCTGTCCCCAGGCACAAGTGCTGTTTGGAACAAAGAGGAATGAAAGTCTTTCTTCTCTTTATTGGTCCTTCAAATAGGGGCTTAGGAATGACTTGCTTTTTCAGGCCTCTCCAGACTCAGGCAAAGGTGAGAAGCCCAGAAAAACACAGTGGAGAGTCCAATGAAGCTGGCTACAGTCCTTAAAAAACAAAAGCTTTAAAGCCAGGCACTGGTGGCTCACACCTACTTCCTTACCTATGTTGGAAGCTGAGATCAGGAGGATAGTAGTTCGAGGCCAGCCCAGGCAAAAAATTTAGGAGACACCACACACACACACACACACAAACAGACTCAACCAATAGCTGGGCTCAGTGGTACACGTCTGACATCCCAGCTACAGGGGGAAGCATACAATAAGATGGCAGTCCAGATCAGCCTAGGCAAAAAGCAAGACCCTATCTCAAAAATAAAGAGTTAGCTGGAGGGATGGCTCAAGCAGTATAGCATCTGTCTAGCAAATACAAATCCCTGCATTCAAACCTTAGTATCACCAAAAAAGTTTAAAAAACAAAAACAAAGCAAATCCAAAAGCTTTGGCTGGGATAGGTCAGAGATAAAGCACTTGCCTAGCATATGTAAGGCCCTGGGTAGGATCCCCAGCACCAAAACAAAAACAAAACTCCCAAAAGCTCCATCTTTAAAAACTAAGTGTATGTCATAGTAATGCATAAAAAATAAAAATTATCAACATAGGTCAGTGGTAGAGCGCCTGCCTGGCAAGCATGAGGCTGAGTTCAAACCACAGTGCCACCAAAAAAATCTATCAGCATACATTACAGCATTAATTATCAAAAGCCAAATTTAATTGAAATCTCTAAGTATATGTAAACAAACTGGAACTGGGATGCAGCTCAGTGGTAGAGAGCTTGCCTGGTATGCTTGAGGCTTTGGGTTCAAGTCCCAGTACCAGAAAAAAAAAATCAAACCTAAGATGTTTCTTCGATGATCCTGAAAATAAGTGAATGTGCAGGAAATTGAAGCTATAAAATAAGGCATAACATTAATGAAGAATCCATTACAAAAGCAGTTCTGTGGTACCACAAGGAGTTAAAGATGGAACAGCTCTTCAGACGCGCAAAAGTTAATCTGCTGATTACATTTGCAGCTGTGTTTAAAAATCATCCAACTTAGGCTGGGTATGGAGGTGTGCGTCTGTTATGCCAGTACTTGGGTGGTAGAAGCAGTAGGCCAATGAGTTTGAAGCCAGCCTAGGGTACATAGCAAGACTGTCTTTAAATAATCTCCAGACTTCATTTTGCTTAATGTAGAATGTAGACCAGGTGTTCCTCAACCCTGTTTGCTAAGGGAGTGGAAGGAAGAGCTGGCCCATTTTCCTGGGATTTCCTGGGTATGTACCTGGGGAGGGGAGAGCCTCCTCTCACCCCAGAGAGCAGTTAAGCCTCTTAGTGCCAAGGATGCTTCTGGCAGGTCAAGGCTAGCCCACCCAAGCCTCTCTTCCAGCCCTGTAGAGACTTGACATTGAGATAAAACATCTTAACTGCACCACAGCTTTTGAGTCTTTGTGAGGGGCAGGTTAACACCTGCCAAAAGTTTAGCAGAAAATATTAATTGGCTCTGCTTTCCAGAACAGAGGCTCCCAGGCCTACAGCGATATCAACAGGGTGCGGCTTCATGAGCAAACCTGCTCCACCAGTTCTAGACGCAGTTAGCACTTTCCATTTAAGGCTTTGGTTCCTGAAAACAATGAAAAGCCCTCCATGAAAGAGGCCCTTTGTAACCACTTTGGGCATTCATGGTCCACCACTTAGAGACATGCCAATTCAAGTAAAGGAACACAGAGCTGGGAGACAGTGCTGTGGAGCATCTGCCCACTCCACAGCTGCTTCATGTTGGCCTTGTTCACCTTTTGGGAAATTAATCAGGAGGATCCTCCTTTATCATTGGTGTTGGAAGCAGCCAGCTTGGCAGACTACCCATGCCTCTTGACACAAACAAAAGTACCCCAAACTACTAGAGGAAACTAGCCTTTCCTAGAGCAGGGCATTGAGTGGGGTCCTCAGGATGAATAGATCCAACTGTAAACTTACAGGAACGGGGTGGGTGGTGGCGAATGAGCCAACTCCCCATCTTAGGCCTTCTCGAATGCCCCCTCCCCCAAGCTCTGTCTATGGTGAACTACATACAGCTTTGACTAGTTGCCCACCAGATGCTGCTAAGTTCCTAACAATGTGATGTGTTTTTCCCATGAATTTGATGACTTGTCACAGAATCTTTGTTTCCTGCACACGTTTTGGTTAGACAAAGCCTTTTGTCAGTATTCCTGGCCTCTGCTTTGCTCCTAGATGAGTGTCCTCAAGGTCTCTTCCCATTGTGCCACCATTGTTCTGATAGTAAAGAAATTCAACCAAACAGTGGTTCAAGGAAAAGAGTTTAAATAAGAGACTGTCTCTGATTAGCGCATTACCTTAACGCATATGAGGGTCCCAAACACCTTTGCATGCCTGACCTTTTGAGAAAGGAAAGGGAATTTGAGGCGGGCACGTCCCTCTTGCCAACTTTTGTGAATCACCCTTTCCTCTGTTACCAGTGTCCATATTAAGACTAAGTCATGATAAGATGGCTGAATGCTTCCTTTCCCTCTAGGACAGGGGACATGGGGCAGACCCTGAAGCACAGCCCTCGTTGGAGTCATCACCAAACACAGCCACATTTCCTCTTCAGCCATCTCATCTCCATCACCACTCGCCACTCAAGTTCAAGATTTGCAAGCTCTTAGCCACTTAAAACCCCACAGTAAGAGTGGAAAACAGGGAGGAATAAATGCAAATGCCACAGGAGACAGAAGCACGTACTTTAAAAAGCAAATTTTAAACATAATTTTGAACTTACAGAAAAACTACAAAAAGAGGACAAACAACTGTTTCCTTCCCCTATTAAGAAGGGATCACTTTGCTCCATCTGCATGCACTCTCGTGTGTGTATGTGCATGCTTGCACCATACATTTCTTTCTCAACCACTTGAAAGGTGTAAATATCATGTCCATCCACCTCTAAATCCAGTGTGAGTTTCTTAAGAACAAGGAAATTGTTTTACAGAACAACAATACAAATATAAAAATCAGGACATTTGATATTGCTACAATATTATTATGTAATGTATAGTTCATACTCAAAGTTTACCAGTTGCCCAAGTGAGGTTCATTATAACAATTTCTAGCCAGGCACCCATGGCTTATGCCTGTAATCCTAGCTATTCAGGAGGCAGAGATCAGGAGGATTGAAGTTCGAAGCCAGTACAGGCAAATAGTTTGGGTTTGCAAGTCTTCTATCTCAAAAATAAAACCATCACAAAAAAAGGGCTGGCAGAATGGCTCAAACTTAAGAGTGCCTGCCTAGCAGGTGTGAGGCCCTGAGTTCAAATCCCAGTGCCACCAAAATAAAAATATTTTAAAAGAATACCTACAAAACTAGGTGTGGTGACACAAACCTGTGATCCCAGCTACTCAGGAAGCTTAAATAGCAAGATCTCAGTACAGGCCAGTCCTGGGCAAAAACTTGAGAACTTATTTGAAAAAGTAAAAGCAAAAAAGAGTGGGGCCTGGCTCAAGTGCAGAGGCAGGGACCTGGCAAGCGTGGGCCCTGAGTTCAAACACCAGTACCACCAAAAAAAAAAAAAAAAAAGAGAAGGTATAGTCAAATTACTATGTTTAATAATTGCTTCTTTTTTGGCATTCAGCATAGTTATATTGTTTATTTGAAATCAGTTGGGTTTCTTTCTTTTTATATTGAATTTTAGCGTTTACCATCATAATTGTTGATTTAAATTTTTTGATTAAGTAAAATATTAATATGCTTGTAAAAGTCAAAGCTATTCAAAAAAGATACACTCAGAAACTTGTCATTCTTTTTTTTTTTTTTTTTCTTTTCTACACCTTGAGCCATTCCACCAGCCCTTTTCGTGATGAGTTTTTTGGGACAGAGTGTTGTGAACTATTTGCCAGGGCTGGCTTGGAACCCCGATCCTCCTGGTCTCTGCCTCCTGAGTAGCTAGGATTACAGGTATGAGCCACCGGCACTTGGGGAGACTTGTCATACTGACTTCT